CTGGCGTCTGTCGAACAGATACAGACATTAATGAAGTTAGCCTTCGCAACTTTCTTAATAAAGAATTATTGAGCCTGCGTTATAGTTAGTTACGTCGCCTTTTCAGCCGCTGTGTTATATTCGACGAAAGTTTCTTGACAAAAATTGTAAATGATATAATAATTTGTTAATAAGCACAGTGTTGCGCAAAGTATTTTAACTTTTGGATATTATAAAATGGAGTTCACTCACTCGTCACATTACACCCTTAGCATGGGTATCAAATTGGAAGCATCTATTTTTTATTAAAATATAATTGAAATATCTAAGATTTAGTAAAAAGGTTTATTTGAAAATTTAAGGAGAGAAATTAATTATATTTAATGCATTTTCAATGCGAAATATTCTCGAATATCGACGCGTTATATTTAAAGTGACTTTTCTCATTTATAAGATAAGAGAAGCTAAATAAATATATTTTACGAGAGAATAAGAGAAATTATATGCAAAATTATCGGATAAAAACCTTGATAAATATCAGATAGCTATCATTAGACGGCGCATTTCAGACAGTCGACGTCGACTTGGAATTGTTTTCTCATGGATCACAGCTATTCCGAGGAAAGATCAAGTTTCCATTTAATGATATTTTCTTTAAGTCTGTTTTTCATTTGTTCGATTCAAGAATTGTACCAGGATCCTTCTTTGGATCTTCAAATGTTGACCTTGGGGTCCCCGTCCAATCTTAAATCTTTTCGAAATCTAAAGTCTTTGAACTGCAGAATTTTTCAACAGTTTTTTTCATTTACTATTCTTTTCCTATTTGAAGTTTAAAGTCTTTGTGGAGTTTCCAAGTTTATTTTTCAATTGTTCTTTTTACATTGTAATAAATTTACTTCTAAAGCATATAAAATCGAAATCCTCGGCTTCAATCTCCAAACATCGCCAGCAAATCTCGTCAATGTAATCTTTCACAGCTGGCTGAGAGACATTTCTGGCGGCCTCCTCGATTATTGTCATTTTCACCGAGCGAACCATTGTCGTATATTTTCTTCGCGCGGATTGAACATGAAAGAAAGTAAAGGGATCGTTTACAGAGATACACGAGACATTCCTCTTCCAACCGCACGCCATGCAATTAATTAACATCGCGTGCGTACAACTAACGAATTGTGTTTGAAAAGAATACCATTGGGGCTATTAAAATAGCCTCCTGAGCTGAAACACTATTGGAATACATCGATAACAGGGTTGTGCTTAGATGATTTTTAAATTATCTAGATAAACATGAGATGAAATGTTATGTAAATTCATCTTATAAAAGAGTAAGATGATTTGGAATTTTTAAATATATCTAGGTAAAAGATAAAATTATATAACGAGTCATCTAGATAATTTCCAGATAATATTATTTTTAAAATTGTTTATGTAAACACAGTTATAAAAAAATGTAAATTATAAAACAGATATAAAAATATGTTCGTACTTTTAATTGTAAGTTTTTATCGCGAAAAGAATATCATTGGGACACATCGATAACAGGGTTGCGCTTAGATGATTTTTAAATTATCTAGATAAACATGAGATGAAATGTATGTAAATTTATCTTATAAAAGAGTAAGATAATTTGGAATTTTTAAATATATCTACGTAAAAGATAAAATTATATAACGAGTCATCTAGATAATTTCCAGATAATATTATTTTTAAAATTGTTTATGTAAACACAGTTATAAAAAATATAAATTATAAAACAGATATAAAAATATGTTCGTACTTTTAATTGTAAGTTTTTATTGCGTACTGCTTAAGTATTTTTATGCACAATGACTCTAAAGCAAATTATCTGAACATTATTCTAAATAATTTAGTAAAGATAACATTTTTTTTTATGCAAGATGTAGATATAAATAATATATATTTTTATTATCTTTATAAAGATAAGATAACATCAAAATTTAATCTAGATGATTTAGATAACCTAACCTAACCTAACATTTTTTAATCCAAGATGCAGATATAAATAATATATATTTTTATTATCTTTATAAAAATAAGATAACGTCAAAATTTAATCTAGATGATCATATTGATCATTTATATAATTTTGCGTCACAATTGGTCTCTCATGTAACAATCATCCCCTATTAATGAAAGCCCTCTTTTTGAAGATGCAGCTTAATTCCCAATTGTCCTAATATCCATATATCCTAATTAAGGTGAGAGGCGTCAGTTACTTAGGGATATATCTCCGTGTACTCATTTCGAAATCTAATTAATCTGACATCACGCTCAGTAGTTCTACCCCTCTCACAGGGTGGTACATACAGTACAATGTATTCTAACTGCCAAGTAGCTGGCATTGTCTGGGAAACAATGGCCGCCAGTGGAAATGGACGGGCCGACCTTGTCCCGCGGGCAGGCAGCCGGTGCAAATTTATTAATTGGTTCAGACGGGGAAGACGAAATTATGTATCTACGCATTCGGGCTGCACCTCCGAACACGTCGCTCAGGGCATAATAATGAGGTTGGCGCGCGGGTTCGTGCTTAATCGCTGATTATCGTGCGATAATTAGACGCGCATGCCGCAGATAATCATATGGAAATTATCCTCTCATCGGCGTCGGCGCAAACTTGTGCGTAATTGTTAACTACAAAAGGCTTAGATCGTCGGCATTTGTTACAACGCCGTTATCTAATTTATTGCTTAATCATTTTTATATAATTATCTTTTCAAGCATTATTATTTTCTTAATGTAGATTTTAATTAGATTTTTATCACGCAATTTTAATTAGACTTAATTTAATTTAATTTAATTTTGGTTTACTACAAAATTCATTATTTTTTTTTTCCTTTTGCTGGGTCGGAACATATTTTTTTAACTCAAAGCTAGAGATAATAATTAATTAAGTATTAAGAGTTAGCGTATAAAATAGTTGAAATACTTTTTTTTTAAACACTATGCTCTTGGTTTGTGATTAATTATCTCGTTTGCTGCATAAGTCAGCTTCTACGTATTGTTGATCTCTGAAAATTCGCTTTTATATAGAAGACGTAGAAAATAAAATTTTTTTAGATGCTATAGAGACTTCTGAATAAAAAAATAAATAGATAGATAGATAACTTATTGCTTAATCGTTTCTCCAATAATTATATTTAATCATTAGTTTCAAGCATAAAATTTTTAATTAAATTTTCTCGCGCGCTTATTTCATTCTGCTAGGTTAGAAGACAGATTTTAAACTCAAAGGAAGAATGAATTAAATATTAGAAACGTTTCTCTTTATGATTGACATATTTTGTCAAAAACATGCGAATTATTCCTTTTACTGAAGAAATGAGCTTCCATTGTTGATCTCCGGCAAAATCGTCTTTATATGAAAGACGTGCAAAATCAGAAATTTGTTGTTTAGACGTTAGGAAGATCTTTCCGGGCGGAGAGAGATTCTCTCGCTCTATTTCTCATTATAATTCTACAGAAATCTCAACTCGATTCCGGCGACGTGTCTGGAAGACGGCTTTTGTTCCCTCCGTTACTTCTGATAGTATATCATTCCGACAATGGGTCACGCGGTGTCACGCACCTGTCATGGCGACTGCAAGACGACGCGACGCGACGCGAAAGCGATGCGACGGAGGCTTCGTTGTGCGCGCTGGATGATTACTGGTTACACGCTGTCGCATAAGGCAGAGAGACAACACTGGCATCTAAACGCCAACTTAGAGGATGCATACTCCAGCTCCGCGGATATGACCGAGTTATCGCTGTCAGGGATTGCACGTGTCTCGCAATTCGCAAAACCGACGACAGCGCGAAATCCGAATAATTCGATCGAGAAAAGTTCCTGAAAATTGCGATTTTATTACACTTTATTACACACGTGCAAAGGAAATGAGTAGGCGAATTTTTTGAAATTTTTAATTGCGCTAAACGTTATATTCTAAATAAAATTATATAATAATATTAAAAAAATTATATTAATGTATAATTATTTATATAATTATGTTAAAATTATGTAGAAACTTTTTGCTCGACTACTCGATTATATCTTGAAATGTATTCGAGATATTAAAAAATGGTGTGTACAAAAGTTTTATGAGAAAAACCATTTTTTAAGTGAAATTTTTTTTTTAATTCTTTGAAAGAATATTTTTTCAAAATTGGATTGATATGACTAAATAAAAATGTTATAACCGTGAAACTTTTGTGTGCAATTTTTTGATATCTTATTTTTTTAAATCCCGAATATTTTTCGAAGTATATAGAAAATAGCGAAAAGTTGTTTTTTATATATCAAATGGTTTCATATTTTAGAATTGTTTTTATATCGTAATTAAAAAGTTCTAAATTCATTCAAGTATTCCCTCTATACATGTGTCAAATTAGAATTTTCGATTAATTTAAAGTTCGAATTCTCCTTTTATATATTTTCCTCGTAATATTTCATAAACAAGAGATTCTATAAGAATTTGTATGAAAATTCGCGGAAATTCGCAAGTTTCAGCGACTGTCAAAACACTCTCTCCGTCATTTTTCCGCTCCTTCAACCATGATCGGAGCAAAGCTTTCGAAGGAGGATCGAGATGAACGAATCGCGTAGAACGAGATGAAATGAAAACACGAGAAAAGGAGGATAAAAGTGATGGCAGGCACGAGAGATAGAGACAGACTGATTGCGGGAGAGAGAGAGAGAGAGAGTTCGCGCGAAAATGGCATTTTCCTCTCCACGTGGCGACGCGAGAGACAACGGTTCGAGACGAAGGGAATCCCATTACTCCAGCGAACTCTGAAAATCAATTCGATTCCCCGCCGGTAATATAAGTGAGAATTCGCCAACCACTTTGTCCCGATTCGCCTCCTGCCGTTTCACGGCCGCCGCATCCAGGCGACTTATATAGAGAGCCTCGCTTCACTTAATAACAAAGTTTGCGGGACGCATGTAAAGTCGCGGGGATACATGGTGCGGCGTAAAGGGATGATAAATCACGGAGGAGGAACTTATTCTCTCATTCCCGGGCTTCTCTGCTGGAAAAGTACGAAAAACGTATATTTGCATCGTATTTATAATGTATAAAGTTATATGCGCGTACGGAGACGCGTGCGCTTTGAAAATTGTATTAACAACTATAGCGGATTATTGTCAACCAATATCTAAAATCGATCTCATTTAAAATTCATTTAAATCTGATCGACAACTGCTCGCAATTCAATTAAAATAATTTTGACAGCTCATAAAGCGTGTAATGCGGTTTGCTTAACGGACTAAAATATTATTGTCTTGAACATCACAATATTAATCAATATTTACACAATATGCAATTATGTACTTGTTGTGTACCAACATAGTTTCAATTAGTCGTAGAAAAATAATAGAATTAATAATAACGGTAATAAAAAAAGTTACACATAAATAAAGTTAGAGTCGCTAAAATGCAATATCTATATCGCCCTGAAAAATTGTCTCATTGTTTCATGAATTTGTGATGTCATCATGTTTTTCTTCAACTCCTGGATCATTGTATTTGTTGCACTAAATGCTATAAATAAAATATTTGTTCAAAAAAATTGGGAGAGGAAATTATTTTTCCGTTCATCATTCGACGGCGATAGTTCAAAAAACCTTGCAAATGCTTCATGAGGAAAAAACTCGGGATAATTGCATCGGGATGTCTCCGACGTGAAATTCCGAATCTACGTTCGCGAAAATGGCTCGGGCCAATTATTTCTTGCTCGCCGGTTTGCGTTTGATCGTCCCGGTATTCGAGTTGCTGGAATTCCCGTTGCTGGTGGACGACGAGTCCGTGCTGGAGGTCTTCTCGCTCTTTGGCATCGTCGTAGGCGTCGGTATGCACGACCTGGTGGCGTCGTTGCACGTCGACGTTGGATCCGTGATTTTACTGGGGTTCGTCGTGTCTGTCCTAGACGCGACTTCCGGTCTCTCTACGACGTAGGACGGCCTTTCAATCCCGGGCTGTTCCTCCCGCCTACGTGAAAACGACGGTATCCTCGTAACCCTCGGCTTCTCCCTCAGGGAAGGCTTCTCCCTCAGCTCCAGCACCCTGTCTCGCTCGCTGTTCTGACAATTCTGCTGTTCCGGGGACGGTATGGCTGACACCTTCGGTATATTCCTCTGATCCCGGCTTCTCGGCAGACTCGCCGTCGGCTTTATGATGATCTTGGGCTGCTTCTGACTACCCGTGGAACTCTTCGGCTCCCGCGCAGTGATGATTATCCGGGGCTCTCTTCTCTCCACCGGCGAAGAATTGTCCGGCCTGTCCGAGGATGATCCCCCATCTCGCGGCGGATCACTCGGAGGCTGATTGACAGGCTCGTGCTTCTGCTCGAAACTTCTCTTGTCGCCCTCGGACGCCGGTGTCGACGAGATTGACGGGCTCGGGTATTGATTGGCCTGGTATGGATTAACCTCTCTCGGCGTGATCACGATCTTGGGTTGCGCCGTCGCATCCCTTTCGATCCCGCCAACCACGATTTGCGGTTCGGAGACCGTCGACGTCATTACGGTTGGTGGCTCGCTCGGTTTGTACCAATTGGGATTGCCCGGTTCTAAGAGCGCGGCCGATTTCCCGATATCCTCGTCAACGCTGTGGGAGGTCGGCGAGAAGCGATACTGATGACCCCCGTGAAGCGGACACTTTGGATTCGCGTAAATGGTGTCTACGCTTCCGCTAGGTTGAACACTTCTGCTCTCCTCTAAGGAATCTATTATATTGGGATCGGAATTGTTTCTACCCGAATCCTGCCTCTTCAGCAGCGGACCCACGTGTAGGTTCGTCGTGATGGGCTCGTGTTCGCACTGATTTTCGCTCTCCTCGGCGAAGAACCCGCCCTTATCGAGGCTCCTCGAGGGATTCCCAAATATTCTGGGTGGCGGTAATGGCGGTTGACTCGAAAAGAAGTTCATTCGATTCCCGCTCTTGTAGTCCTTTAATGAATTTGCGTGCTGTTTCGGCACAAAGAGACTACTCGGCGCCGGGAGCGATCGTCTCTTCTCTATATCCGGAAGCACCTTGGGATAGTTTCGGCGTTTGATTGTCTGCAGAGCCTCCTCCGGGCTGATGCACTCTCTCTCCACGATCGGTTCCCGACACGTGACGTTCACGTCGCTCGTACCGAAGGTCGTCAAAATCGGTCCGGTCTTTACGTAGATCTCTTCGCTAGGAACTGGATTCTCGTATTTGGATTGATTGGACAGTGGCGCCTCGTTTGTTCCCGGGCCGGGACGAGGCAAACGGGACTTCAGCTTGGGATTGATCTTCGCGTATAAACTATTCGAGCTTTCCGCGTCGGGCTCGTGGATCCTGGGACTGGAGAAATTCGGCATCGTCGTCTTCAGGACGTGTTCCATCGGCAGGGGATCGCTCCTGGAATGATGATGCTCGATGACGATCACCTCGGGCGTCATCAATTGATCCGCAATCGGTTCGTATTCGTTCGGCACCTCGATGCTCCTGGTTAACTCGATCGGTACTTGATTCAGAACGGACTCGGTTCTGGTGGCTGGAGTTGCGTCGATCGCCACGGAGATTTTCGGCAGCTTCGACTTCTTTCCAGGACGCACAATCAGCGCTGGACTCTCGTCGTAGATCGGTTCGTCTCTCCTTTCCTTCAGCGTCTCCTCTATTATGCGTTGCTTCTCTTCTTGCTGCTGCTTGTTCAGCTTCTCCTGGTGCTCCTTCTGCAACGTTTCTCGCGTTTTGCGCAGGAACCTCGGTGAACATCTGTACGAACAAAGCAAGACAAAAAGCATTTTTTACTTTAAGAGGATCTTAAACGTTCTTGAGAAGTCTGTTGTTTTTCTTCCTGTTTTATCGACAAAATGTGAGGTTAGATAAATTATAAATCTATTTATTGGCTATACGGATTGTTTCTTATCTGAAATTAGAGCGCTTCGCCTTTTGTTAATATTAATATTTCAGTTTGTACAGGAAAAAAAGATTTATCAATCTGTATATACAGCTAATAAATAAATTTACAGTTTATCTAATTTCACATTTTGTCGATAAAACAGGAGAAAACAACAGACCTCTCAAAGACGTTTAGGTTCCCCAAAATTAATATATTACAAGAAAGTCTTCAAAAATGTAATGTTTGGTATTATTGCAAATTAAATTTAGAATTTAAATTTTTGCCCACTATTTAAAAAAAAAACAGTAATATTACACAATTTTTCCTATTTAATTAATATTGAATTAATATTCGCAATAAAAAGTAATATGGAAAATTATCAGCGTCGTCGAAAACATTTGATTAATAAATGATGTTTTTGCTGAGAGAAAAATTGTCGTGCAATTTAATGTGACATTATATGTCAAATAATATCGTTATTTAAATTTAACACAAAATTTAAACTTAATATTATTAATACCACTCATTTTTAATGATAGCAACTAATTATTACCAAGAGTTATTGTCAATCGCGCAGTGTTTTCATTTGGTAAATGAAAGGTACGTATTAATTTTGCAACTTGATAACGACCAATAATAATAATAATTACACTTTCACGCCTCCGGAAATTAATTAATTTAATCTTGTATATTACATCAACAAACGAGATGTTACTTCTTGCCAAAAGCATTCGTTTAATAATACACATTCATTTATTTGTTTCGCGTGCTATGATGCACACATTAATGATATATGTAATGTAGACCTATTTATTTAGTAACAGCGCTATGATGCATGTTTATAATCAAGCATATTTCAAATATATGATTTTCCGATGCTCATTATGTATCGCTGTCATATTAACAGACCGAAAAGTAATACACGTCACAGTGATGAGCAGTTGAAAAATATAAATGCATACATATTCTGTTTAATCTAACTCGTGTTTGTGCGGGAAAAAAATTTTTCGCAGTCCAAAAAAAAAAGTAAACGGAAATATTTTAAAAAATTTATTACGCAATTTATACATGATACAAAATATTCCGCGAAGTTATTTATTTTTATCGTGCCGTTTTATATAGAATTTCCTCTAAATTGTATTTTTTTTATCGTTCTTATTTTTGTTTTAATCAGCAGCACGGCAGCGCGCACAAACACCGAGAGGATATTGTTGACGATATTATTTGCAAATCAAATATTGCTTGCTAAATGACGAGAGAGACGAAAGTTGCGCTCTAACGAGTTCAATTAACTTTGTAGGGTAGCACTTGTCAACCTTTTTCGCGAGTCAATACACCTAACGAAATATTCGAACGGCGAAAGAGAGAAAGAGAAAACACAATTCTCTGATTTGAGTGATACGGACCACGTCTCAAAGCAACCACTCTTTAAGCGGGGGAAACCTCTAATTGGATTACTAGGTCGTTCAACCCTCACCACGATCGACGAATTTGCGAGGGTAAGCGTTCCCCGAGTATCTTCGGCTCTTCGCAATTAAGGAAGGCGTACAAATCGAATTCGAAATGTCGACTACTACATCGAGAACAACCCGCAGTACAATGTCGGAGTAACAACAAATTCAATACAAAATATTTAATTTGCTCGAAACAATTATTTAATTTTGTTTTGACTGTAAAATAAATCTCAAAATTCGAAAATATAAATTTTGAAATTCGTGCGAGAAAATTTTTAATTGTTTGAATAATTGGATGCTTAATAAAATCAATAATATAATTCATCGATTTTAATAAATAAATAAATTATACAGAATTTTAATGTTTGTTTGAATTAATAAATTATATCAAATTTCATTCCTTTTTATCTAAATAAAATTCGAAACATTGATTGCTTTATTAAGAAAAGCCTATGATATAATGTCAGAGTAACAAAGAATTTAGCACAAATATAGAAATAAATTAATTATAAATTAATCCATGTAAAACAAACATTTAATTTTATTTATCTTGAAAATAAAAATCTTGAAATTCTCGCAAAAAAGATTTTAATTCTTTAAAAAAAATCTTTGAATAATTGGTTACTTAATAAAACAATCTAAAATAAAATATAACTGAGCGATTTTTAACAAATGCATAAATTATGTCAAATTTCAAATTTTTTGTCCATTCATTATTTTACAATAATTTTATTTTAACAAAAAAATTCGCATAAAATAATGAAGGTAATATCCGCGAATATAAAATATGCATTAAAATGTGTTTTAAAACTCTTGGAAAAATTCTAGGATAAAGATAACAGGATTACAGATTAGTTATTGTTAACTTGAAATTTTATTTCCGCCGAGCCTTTCACTGACCTGTGCACAATCTCCTGTTGAATCCACTCCCTGACCTTGATGTGAGTGTCAATAGTAGAGCTGGAGTTTTGCCTCGACAGTTTCGATCTGCGTCCAAAGTTGGAGTTGTTGTCGTACGCCTTGTCATTCTTTATCACGTCGTTCAGATCTGGCTTGCTATCGCTTTTGTAGCCCAGCTGGCCATAATGGTTCTCGTGCTTATCAGTCTTCGACCTCTTGACGGAGTCGTCTTTCTTCTCGCTGGCTCGTCTCTTCAACGACTTCTCCTTCCTCCTTACGCTCTGCTTTTTATAGTAGATGTACAGGAAGGCCGTAAAGTTTATCAGTATGAACACCACGAAGAAGACAATCACCATCATCATCGTCGACGAGCTTTTCAACATGTCGGTCTCCACCGTAGATCCCTGCCCGATGCTTCCATCCGTCGTAACCGCGATTGAAAATGGCTTGTCTGTGTTGGAGATTGTACTTGGCGGAGTTGTGTATCTACGGGAAAAAAATATGTTTCACAATCCGTAACAATAAAAATGTATGAATAAACACAAAATGAATAAAAAAAGCAATTTTATGTTGTTTTATTTGATTCTCGCATATTTTTTTAGAACATCCTGTATATAAAACTCTCAATTGTTGAGAAATTCCTTCGATAACAAAAATTTCAGATACACGTGTAATTGATCCTTCTGTCAATGCATAATTTTTCACTTTTTCGTCAACGTATAAATATCCGGATACCGTACTGCGTGTTTTCGACATATCGCATTGGGATAATTTTTTAATTTATTTTTAAAGCAGCTGTCAGAGATCGAACATTCTTTCCCGTAATATATTTTAGGGGATTTCCGGATTAAAAATAAAAAGACAAAAGTTCGGACATAATTCGAACCTTTAACGGTGCTTCGAATACCCGGGTGTCCAAAGTTCATTAACAGAAGGGTTAATTAGTCCTATCCCTACCACAGACTTAGCACCGTAGGTTTCGTACTTTCGATTTGCGGTACTGTTGGCATATTTGCCGATCCCGTCGGCGAAGTCGAGAATCTGCGGTCGCGGTCCTCTCGATCGTGTCGGGCTCGAGATGTCTTTATTCGGGTGCCTGAGCAGATTGGGCAGGTCCTCATTCCAGAACTGCATCTCCGCCGCGCGATAATGCGTACCTATGTCAGGTGGTATGGCTGCGTGCAACAGAGAATGGTGTCGCATATATCAAATAACATTGTTCGACAAAAAAATTTACCGGAACGAGACCAGTCATTTCTTATAGTTTCTTGGACGCTCAATACGAATCTGGTTTCTAAATTATTCCATTTCTAATCAAAGTTGCAAAAATGGGTTTTTTCACAGATTTGTTATTCGGGGCTTGATAATTCAATGCGACACTAGTGGTGGACACTATCGATATTGACGATGATATCGAGATAATGACCGAACTTTTTCTTAGCAAAAACTTTTGTAAACAAGCAAATCACTTTAAGAATTGATTGGTATCGACAAATATTGATGTGGGAATTTTATAATTTGGAAAATCTTTCCAAGTCAAGGTGTACCAGATGTGGAAAGAGGACTTACTTAGATTGAAATATGTCTGATTGACCGGATCGTATTCTGGCCACTCGACCTCGTACTGGCCCCATTCCTTAAACCCATTAGTCAGGTATGGATGTTGCTTGACGACATTGGGATTCCTGCGGGATTCGAGTATTTTCCTTGATAAATAATCGCGAGTGATTAATGCGGCGGCAGAAATGCCCAATAACTTTTGTCGGACGGTACAAACCGGCTTGGGATTAATACCGTCAGGAAATTGGAATGGGATATATAGAGAATAGAAGATATCGAATAATCCAAAATAATCCACGGGGGATAATTTCATACTGTCTATTTCTACCTGTGTAATTACTTTAAAATTAACGCACGATCGACCATTTTTGGAGGATTCATTCAATTTTACGGAATTTAAATCTCCGGAATGTTTTGTATTATAACATCCGACATTTTGTATAATTTAAGCGCTTATAAAATCCGAATATCTAGATTGTAGGAATTTTAATTCGACAAACTTTTCCATACATATATGATATCGCATTTGAAATTCCGTAACGTTGTAATCCACCGCAAAATCTCCGGTATTAATTAATTTTTTCGTTAACGTTTATAAATATAATGCACCACTTGTCTGTTCATATATACACGCATCGATGATTCGAACATGCGAGAAAATTATTTTCGAACGAACGATACATTTGATTAGAGCTCTATAAAAATAAGTATATTCTCGTCCGCCATTTTTCTTTCTACCGCATGTGAAAGTTAGGTTATACGTCGTATTTACATATGTCAAAATGTCAATACGCATTATCATTGTACGTCTTTCGATCTTGCAGTCGTTGATTAAAAAATTTATCTTAAATATCGAGTCTATTAAACTCAATAGGTGTTTGTTCACAGCAACGCAGCCAGGCATTTTGGAAGCACCATACTATATGCAACAACAAAAACACAATGTGTTGATTGTTGTAACAATTATTTTGAGTTTAATAGAATCGATATTTACGATAAATTTTTTAATTAACTGCGAGATCGAAAGGCGTACAATGACAATGCGTAATGACATTTTGATATATGCATAATATACGACGTATAACCTAACCTTCACATGCAGTTGAAAGAAAAATGGCGGACGAGAATATTCACTTTTATAGTGCCTTAATTTAATCGATCGACAGAAAAAAAGAAAAAAAAGAAATTTCTGTCATTCGTTATCACACACTGACGCTCCCGTACAGATGCTGCGCATCGTTTATCCTCGCAAAGAGGAGACGCGCCCTTATACAGGGTAGACGCATGAAATATCGATCATGCTCCGCGACGTTTACAAACGCGTAACGTTTACCGCGTTAAATCTAAATACCGTGTGTTTTGCTTAATTGCACCGACCTAGTTCCACCTCGAGTTCTATCGTTTATCCCATTGTATAATGCATAAATAAACTCTAGTCAAACCATATGTTCAAAACTGTGTCTGACAAAAAATTGCGTGGACGCGATGCGAAATGCGGTTTTACATTTCGCGGCAAAATGGATATATAAATATTCCGTGAAAAAAGTAGATATATTTTACAATTATATTGCGGAAACTAAATTTTCTGTTGCAAGAGGAGAAATTTAATTCTCTAATAAGTCATCAAGACTGCAAAGGTTAGTTAGCGGTATACGTATTAATAATTTACGAGATTTTATTATTTTTAGTAATATAAATTTTATACGCAGTGTCGTATTTTCAATATCTATATAAAAATTAAATAATAAAGTATTAATTCTTTTTAGATTAATTGTAAGTTATAACATTTTTTACTACTATTTCAGAATGTACAAATAGATGTGAAAGAGAAATATGGAGAAAGAAGTTGCTTTACCGTTCACAAAATATTTAAATAAAATATTCAACACAATCAGAGATTCAAAAATTAAGCTTTAAAAATGTGTTTAATAAAGTATAAGCATAATATATAAAGAGCAAATATAGTATTTTAATACCCTGAATTTTGTGTCATATTTTATTTTATATTTTATTTTATTTTAAATAATGAAAATTATATGGTCGAATAATGTCAAAGTTTAAAATTTGCATAATAATTCTGTCGTAACAGATATATTAATAACAAAACAATATTCTCAAAAATATTAAAAATCTGTTAAATAAATTTAGTTTAATTAATTATATTTCAATCCTATTCCGATATAAATTCTAATATTTTTGTCAACAAATCAAATAAACGTATATTTCATTATAATTAATTACTTGAAAATTTAAAAGTCCACATAGAGAGCTTCAATATAATTGCAAATTTAATATTCTTAGTCATGCAGAGATTCGCTTTTATATTTATAATATAATTTAACGTTGAATTGTGATTTAAACGATTTTATCGAAATAAATTTTTAATATAATTAGAAATTCGATATACCTCGGTTTAAACAAAAGTAGCTTTGTATCACGAGAACATTGGGCTTGTTCGGCTGAATAAAATGAAATATTTTGCTGGGTTAAACGATTTGTCGAAATAATTCTACATAATAACTACATATAGATAATCTGTTCTTTTCGCGCAAATTAAAACAGCCGATTCGTCGGATCGTTAATTTGACAATATCAAGCATCAACATAACAAGCATCAAATTGCGCCAAGTTAATTTGAAAGGAGAACGAAGCAAAAAATATATGCATAATAATAATTAATAAATATATGCGTATATATTGCGTACATTTTTATGCAAAACAAAAATAAAAAAAAAATCTTTAACAATTTAATTTGACAGGAATTTTTAATAAACTATCCGATAGAGTTTATCGGTTTTGTATTTCTTCTTTAGTAGTTTTGCTTACATCATTCCGTTCAATTATTGAGTTTAGAATAATGCGTCAGTTAAAAGCATAAAAAAATGTGTCACTCTTAAAAAGAATCCTTTTAAAATCTATTACAATACTATTACAATAAAAAGTACTTAAAAAATATGCAATTTAAATTAAACATTATGGAATTTCTGGATTTTACGTATTTTCTACATTATCTATTTCACGACTATATGTATGTTTAATTTTTATTTTTATTTTTCAAAATTGATTAATATTTTCATTGACGTTTTAAATATTTTTTCTTCAAATCCCTAAATTTCATTTATTCTTCTGTTTATTTAATTCTACAATATAATATTTTAAAAATTGCATTTTAAATTAATACGTCTATAAAGTTTAATTGTTTCCAAATGTAACAACATCGAGAAAAATATATTACCGTTCGGTTTAATTAAACTTTTGAATGTTTAGTTAATTGAAAATCACGTTTTCTCCCTCTCCCCTCCCTGAATACGTTATATTTCCAAGTTTAACTTCAGCAACTAGAAATGTTCGCGTCAACGCCCAACAACAATTGTTCGCCACTATTATTATATGCGATCGTTTCTACGCGCGTTTACCACCACTCATATATATGCATTCAACCTTTCATACCAACTTTAATTTAACTTAAATACACGTACAGTGATTATTTCGTACGTTATTGCAAAATTATTTGTTTGTACGTTTATTTTTCTCATTAAACTTGTAATTATCCCCGGCTAACTAGACCTCTGCAAATTTTATTCGTATTTTTCAATTAATAACTCTCTCGTTTCGTTAAATAAAACGCAGAACATTTCTGAAAATGACACAGCATAGGTAATGCAAGAAGATGAATGCATTTTAAATATGTTGTTTTCCCATTTTGTCCAATTGTTAAATTAATAAAGCTTTTTAATATTTTTTACTATTATTTATATTTACGATTATATTTCAATTCCGCGTGAGTTATGTGAAAAATAAATATTTCGATGTACAAATTAATACTTAAAAATTTATGGAGAAAAAATATATATTTCAATATTTATTTGTAATAATATTCTACATATAGAGTACAGCCTTTAGTTTCTTCCACTTCGATTAAATCATATCGGCCTAATGTAAAATTTTTATAATGGATAAAATGTGCTCACAAAAAATGCTGTACAAGATTTTGCTGAAGGGAATGCTAGTTCTATTTTACCGACTCTAAGTTAGGTTAGATTCACTTTTTATATTAAATATACAAATTGAAAAATCCTCTAAAATAAAAATACTGATAATAATAAATAGGTACGTTGTCCGGCAATTTATTTTTGCTGTTTTATACCTCGACATCGATTCCGCACGCAAATATACATACATAGTTAATTTAAGTACAACTTTTTGATACAGGCTTTTAATTTTATTTTTATTACTTTTATTATTCTTCCATGTAATCTCTATTGGGGGCGCCATATTTTATGCACAAATTAACTGCAGAACTTTTGTATTAAATAAGTATTATTATGAGCTGATTCAAGAGGCCGATAAAAAAATTAATTTTTTAACTTTTATTGTTTTTTTTTATACAAAATTACAGCGTTCCCCGTTCATTATTATCAGTACTTTAATTGTGGAGAAGGATTTTTCAATCTGTATAGCCAATAAAAAGAAAAGCCTTTGAACTCAGAGTCGGTAAAACAGTCATGGTCAGCATCCCTTTAATTTTTTTCTTTCTGCTCTTTTTTTTTTTTTTTTAGCAACTTACCCATTATAGGCAAAACTGCACCACCAGTTCATAATAGCTTCTGAAAACAGCGTCTCTCGGATGTCGTATCGACCTCGTAAGTCGTACTTGCTGCCGTCCAATGGAACACCGAGTACATAAGGCAATTCTTCCCCGTGCACGGTATGTTGATGTTGTTGCTGCAGCATAACAAGATCACTGGATGTGCTTTTATACCGACGCATACGTATTTTATCGATACTTCGACGCCACTCGCGTAACTCGAAAATATCGAAGCTTAGGTTGTTACCCCCTTTCTCTCCTCTTTCCTCCTTCCCTTATCTCCTCTTTTTACATCTTCTACTACTTCCATTCTTATACATTTTTGTGATATTTTTTATCCTATTTATTTTATTCTATTTTTATTTATTTTATTCCATTAAATGTATTGATATATTTTTTATTTAAAATACACATTTTTTATAAGGTAAAAAGTTATTATCATTCTCATAAGGCAAATATCTATTTTTATTACGCAAAATAAATACATACGTATTTCAAAATGTTTTAAACCAATATTTCAATATGGGAAATCTTTTAAGTCTTTTAATTGTTCATTGTATATTTATAAGTATTTAAATAATCCTTTAATTAATCAATAGTAAACATTTAAGAGTTTTGGAATTTATTTTAAAATTCTGCTGAATTTTTAAAGTTTTAAATATTTTATTATTCAACGTCTGTAATAATATCCAGATTGTTTCAAATTTAAACGTCAGATTATAAAGTTTAACAAAATTAAAATTATTTTTCAACGTCATTTATTCATTTTTGTTATTTTATTATTAGTATAGTTATTATTTGTAATTGTTATTTTATTATTAGTGTAATTATCATTGTTATTAATAATAAAATAATATTTAATAACAATTTTCAAGAGACCATTTTTCTATCATGCAATAACATTTCCCTTTAATCTCAAACCTTCATTAAATTGTTGCCTACAAACATCCCTATAATATGTAGATTTAGAATAAAATTAATATGCTTTTTTTTTTTTTAACAAATATTGGAAACTCGCTCATCATCAATCCTACCGACAATTTTCAATTGAAATTTCCTCGATACGAGTTCTCAAATTTATCGCACTCGTAATTATTTTTAGCACGATAAACCGAGCGTATTTACAAACGCGTCAATTTGTAAAGTTCAATAAAGAGTGGAATTTACGAGAACGGGTAGAAATTAAAATTCATCGGACTCGTGTTCGTTGCGTACATCAGGAGAGAGAGAGAGAGAGAGAGAGAGAGAGAGAGAGAGAGAGAACTGGGAATGATGTATGCTGCGTGAATCGCTATTTGCAGATTTAAAATCTAATATCCTTGTTGACGCAACGATAGCGTTGTACCCGGAGGTACATTCAATTTAGCGATATTCTCGGTTGCTGCATGGCGAGGTCGTTGCCAGAGCGTACGCAACGACGATAAAAATAGTTGGCCGAAATCCAAATGGGTTCGCAACCCGGATTTTTCTTTCCCTCGAACTGTGTGCGAAGCATAATGGTCGCCACTAGGTCACACAAACTCGCTCCTTCCGAACTAAGGAACCGGGGACAATGGATACAACGCGATCCATGTGGAATATTCCAAAAATGCCGGGCGCTTTCTTTCGAAATGCCGGCTCATTGATTAATCCGGGAATGAGTTTTTTTCTCGTGAATTTAATTGGAAGCTTCAGCATTTTTGCCTTCGCTAATATTATGCCGGTAATGGTTTAAAAAAATCTACTTCTGTAAATGTAAAATTAGAAAAGAATTAATTGATATAATAGAATTTTGTGGCAAAACAATTTAGAAATGTATAAGATTATTAGAAATAGGATTCTTAAAATATTATATGTATATACTTGAAATAAATTTCTAGATTTAATTGGAAGTTATTTTGATCTCTCATATTAAACATTTTAGTGACCGAGTTTTAAAAATATATAAATTTCTGTAAATGTAAAATTTATAAATTATTAAGGGAAAGTTTAAAATTTAATATTTAATTTTAAAGACATACTGAATGGATTATTAACGATTAACGAGAAGTTTTAAAATAAATGTAAAATTAGGAAAATATTAATCTATCATAGATATAAAAATTTAATTTCTATTCAAAGAAACAATTTAGAAATGTATAAGATTATTAAAAATAGAATTCTTAAAATATTATGTATATACTTGAAATAAATTTCTAGATTTAATTGGAAGTTATTTTGATCTCTCATATTAAACATTTTAGTGACCGAAGATTTAAAAATATATAAATTTCTGTAAATGTAAAATTTATAAATTATTAAGAGAAAGTTTAAAATTTAATATTTAATTTTAAAGACATACTGAAAGGATTATTAACGATTAACGAGAAGTTTTAAAATAAATGTAAAATTAGGAAAATATTAATCTATCATAGATATAAAAATTTAATTTCTATTCAAAGAAACAATTTAGAAATGTATAAGATTATTAAAAATAGGATTCTTAAAATATTATGTATATACTTGAAATAAATTTCTAGATTTAATTGGAAGTTATTTTGATCTCTCATATTAAACATTTTAGTGACCGAAGATTTAAAAATATATAAATTTCTGTAAATGTAAAATTTATAAATTATTAAGAGAAAGTTTAAAATTTAATATTTAATTTTAAAGACATACTGAAAGGATTATTAACGATTAACGAGAAGTTTTAAAATAAATGTAAAATTAGGAAAATATTAATCTATCATAGATATAAAAATTTAATTTCTATTGAAAGAAACAATTTAGAAATGTATAAGATTATTAAAAATAGGATTCTTAAAATATTATGTATATACTTGAAATAAATTTCTAGATTTAATTGGAAGTTATTTTGATCTCTCATATTAAACATTTTAGTGACCGAAGATTTAAAAATATATAAATTTCTGTAAATGTAAAATTTATAAATTATTAAGGGAAAGTTTAAAATTTAATATTTAATTTTAAAGACATACTGTGTGAAAAGATTATTAACGATTAACGAGAAGTTTTAAAATAAATGTAAAATTAGGAAAATATTAATCTATCATAGATATAAAAATTTAATTTCTATTCAAAGAAACACCTAAATACGATTATTAACGATGGAATTTTTCGAATCTTTATATCATATATACTAATTGTAAGACGAATATGCGAACTCTTTCTTTCCCTCTTTCTCTCCATTTCTCTCTCTCTAAGCAATCAACACTCCTTACGATCCTTGCAGAAAACCATAGCATATCTTTCTTTCGCATTTTAGGGAATTAGAAAAAGTACATTTCCCATTTCACGCACACACACACAGATATACCCAGCCACCCACACACACATACAGATTCTTCGATAAAGTGCGGCGATGAGAAATGCTCTTCGTTTTCAGGAGCAATGCTCCGCATCAGGGAACAACAACGTTGCATGAAGCTGCACGAATTGGAGCGTTGAAGGAAGTGCACTTTAACTCATCATCCCCGCCAGAGAGTCCGTCTCTCTCTCTTCGCGTTTCCTCCTTCTCACTCTCTCTCTCTCCTTCTTATGCGCAACATTTTTCCCGTACCGTGTCGAGTCTCGCTTTGTCGAGAGGCGTCTGAGCCGCGATAATCGATCTTCGTTGTATCGCTGAGAGACCTACTTACGCCAGAGTAGTCTTGCATAGCTTTCGGATGCGAGAAGACGTACATGTAGCTCTTCGGGTTCGCCCTTGAATGCAAATTGGCAGTCATTATTAACGGCGCCACGGTGCCGCTATCCGATAACGCCTCCAGCACCATGTCCCGATTCTTCGTGGCGTACTCTTTCGTGAATCCGTTGGAAAAGTCGCCGTATTGCTCCAGCACTTTCGACAGGATCAGCTCCGGCTCCAGTTCATGCGTCGCCTGAGGACATATTCTTGATGTACAAGGAATCATATTCGAGATTTTAAAAAGTCTCGAGATTCTAGAGGATGAATTATCCAGCACCTTCATAAATCTGAGATATAAAGGATGTAAAAATTTTCAAATGAAGTTTGAAGAGCAAATTCCAAAAATTGTCTGCAAGAGATGAGAAGTCAAAGCTGAACTTAGAGAACTGAAGTTAACAATGAGAATAGAGAAAAATAGAAATCGAAAAATTTAATAATCTGGGGATTTAAGTATTTAATATTTTTGCTGTCTTATTAATTCTAATATCTGTTCAGACAATTTTATTTAAAATGTTTGAATCTTTAAATTTTCAGATCATTTCTCAATCTCCGCTTTCATTCTACTTCTCATCCAGGTAACTGAATTAACAAATTAGATACTTATTTAATAGAGATAAAAACAAATTGATAAAAAAATTACTTTGACATGATCTCGTAGGATTTCATCTCGTTGTCCGTCAAGCATGCCGTGTAACAAAGCAACTGGTGGCAGGATGTGAAATTTCTCGGACTCGGTCACGCCATACATCAAGTCAAACCTGAAAACAACGTTACGATTCCTCGCGTTTTTAATTTGCCAAATTTTTAAACGTCGTTCGTTCGAAATTTATTTTTATTCCCGGAGAAATCTACATGGATGCGAGATTCCTTCCCTCGATATCTAAGAATTTAATCTTTCTATCAATGCATAATTTGTTATCTTTCAGTGTATAGGTACCCAGGTATTAACTGCGTGTTTTTAATAAGTAACTTATATAGCAGCTGCTGCGCATCAAATATATTTTAAGAGATTTCCGAATATAAAGATTTCTTTGTATTTTGTTTTGCATACAGAAAAAAATTCTTACACCTTTTAAACATTTAAAATTACTTTGAATATCTGTTCATTGACAAACTTAAGAGGATGCTGCCGCAGTTCTGTTTTATCGACTTTAAGTTAGGTTAGGTTCACTTTTTATTGAATATACAGATTGAAAAATCCTCCACAATTAAAGTACTGATAATAATGAATTCTTTCATGTCATCTCTATTAAGAGCGCCATATTTTGTGCACAAATAAACTGCAGAACTTTTATATTAAATAACTATTGTTATGAGCTGATGCAAGAGGCCAATAAAAACTGCAATTTTTTAACTTTTATTGCTTTTTATGGAATCACAGCGCTCCCCGTTCATTATTGTAAGTATTTTAATTGTGGAGAAGGATTTTTCAATCTATATAGCCAATAAAAAGAAAAGCTCTTGAACTCAAAGTCGGTAAAACAGACATGGTCAGCATCCATTATATCTTTTGTCAATGCATAATGTTCATCTTCCTATCAATGAGTACTTGGGTACTTATTTTTGACACATTGCACTGCAACAATTTTTTTATGAGGTTTTCGAACACAGAAATATTTTCTATTTTGTTTTGTAGGCCGAAAAAAATTGTCCAATATATTTGAAACATCGAAAATTGTTTTGGGTATCTTAATTGTAGAGAAGGATTTTTCAATCTATATAGCCAATAAAAAGAAAAGCCCTTGAACTCAAAGTCGGTAAAACAGACATGGTCAGCATCCATTATATCTTTTGTCAATGCATAATGTTCATCTTCCTATCAATGAGTACTTGGGTACTTATTTTTGACACATTGCACTGCAACAATTTTTTTATGAGGTTTTCGAACACAGAAATATTTTCTATTTTGTTTTGTAGGCCGAAAAAAATTGTCCAATATATTTGAAACATCAAAAATTGTTTTGGGTATCGAGAAACTCGTTCATTGACAGAAGGGGTGCGAGAATAGGAAAAAATCATACCTGCCAAAGAGCTGAGCGTTCTCCATTAAATTGAAGGGTTTGTCGGGGATAACTGCACGGTCGATCAGTGGCGCGTAGGCCGGCACGTATTTCGGCTTGTGGATTTTCGCGTGTAGCAGCCTGTCTACGTCCTGGTTGCGCAAGCAGATCGCCAGTTCGCTGTCGCTGGTGGTGGGACAGTTGAGAGCGTGAGCCACCTGAAAAACGAGTCCCCTTCCCTCAACATTGAGCTCACGAGCGAAATGTGAACGCGGGACCGACTGTCTCTACTCTGAATCCTTCACCCCTTCACCACCCTTTGGGTGTGTCGATGTAACCCGTGTACCGATTCGCCACCGTGACGAGCGGTGATACATCTTGCCGATTCGAATTCGAATCGCGATCGAAACATCACGCTGTCATTTGCGGAACGTACATACATACATCGTGTCGCGTAGAAAGGCAAAATCTAGGGTAAACGATCTCTTTTTTTTCACTTTGGAATTTTGAAATAGTTTAGTTAATTTTAAGTGGAAATATTTCAAAAATTTAGAATTTTAAATGATCTTCAGGGTACGAGGATTCTATAATTATCGTGATCTAAAAATATTTGTAAGCTTTAAGAAGTGAAATATATTGAAAATTGCAGAAATTTTGCGAATATAAAATAAAACTCGACGTTTGAATAAATTTAAAAGTACGAAATTATAATTAAATGCTTTAAATATTTCAACGAAATATTTATATCACTTTCTCTTTTAAAAATAATATATTGTTATTTTAATAAAATAGTTAAAATTGCCAATGATCCTCTCCATTTCGTATGATTTCTCTTTTTTCCTTCTCGTTATACATTAAAAACTTTTACGAAGTTTTTTAAATAATTGATTCATTTTTATTCCGGAATTTTTTGAATTTATATATTCAATTGGACGTTTTAACAGTTTAGAATTTGAATGAATGGTTTATAAAAATTATTTTAAAAATGTATATATATATATATATATCTCGCAGAGAAATACATTATTCTTTGATAAAATATTTAATATTACCAAGGAGCTTTCTCCCTTTTTACGACTGTGCTTTTCCTTCCCTTCTCGTCATACATTAAAAACATTTATGAAATTTTTAAAACATTCGATTAATTTTGTGAGTGACTTGTTTAACGACTTAGAACTTGAAGAACTCGCGAGAAGAACCGGGAACGCATAGAGAATCTTTGAAATTCAGAAAATTAAGTCAATCGTTAAAATTAATGATAATAGATGCCGCGCGTAAACGATTTGTCATTCCGTGAAACTGAAATCCACGCGCATCAATCCTCATCTTTCGCCGTTTTTATTCGCGGCTATTATGCATCTTTCTTTACCTGCTTGGTGATTTGCAGTGGCCCCTTTCCGATCGCGTCCGCGCTCATTGCCGATCCAGACATCAGGATGGCCCGTTTAAACAAACCTGCGCCAACAAGATGGATGCCGAACAGATTAATAACTCAGCTCATTCAACGCGGTCCCAACAATTCTCAAATCTCATCGGGATACAATATCCCGAGGAAAGCAAAAGGTGCCTGGAAGTGTTACAAATTTTCCTTAATTCTTTTCACACCCCTATGAGTTCGAAGATTCTAAACAGGACTGTAGAAGAAGAAAAGAATTGCTCGTCCAAGCAATATAACAATGCTGTATATTTATGGCTTCTGCAAACATGATCCGACAAATAAATTCGCGGAAGAAGAGAAGGAACGTTGACATAAATAGATAAAACCGCTCTCCAATGTTTGAGAACTCCTCGCATGACACGGCCAGGCATTTCTGTCTCGACGTGTAAAATATTAAGTCCGGTTATTTTTCATTGCACAATATAATTATCGGCCGGACGCGATGGCATTGTGCGCTCGACCGGAAGAGAAAAGTTCCTTTCTCTCCCCGAGCCGCTATTGCGAAGCCGGTCGGGTGAAAAATGGTCGACGTCTTCTTTCTTGTGCTCCTCTCTCTCTCTCTCTCTCTCGTTCGCTCGCTCGCTCGCTCGCTCGTTCTCGCTGACCCTGCTCGGACACCGCCGGCTGCCCGAGAGTGCTCTTGAGAGAGTGCCGCTCGATGTGTGTGCTTCACCGTTCGAACACATGTTGGAGACCAGTGATTCCTAGCCTCTTGTCAAACTCTGGAAATATCGCGACGCGAGTGCTCGCTCGAGTCGAGAAAAAAAAGGGCGCAAACTCGAGAAAGGGATAATTGAAGGGTCGTCGACATCTGAATCTCTAGACGGTTCGATCGAGTTGTCATATTTTGCGAATTTATTTACGTTAAATATACGCTCCTCGAAATAATTAAGGGATAAAAAAAATTGTCTAAAAATAGGCAAATTTTAAATAGCCGTAACTTTGTTTCGGAAAATGAGAATTTACATTTTAGAGAAGAGTTTTAAAGCTTGAAATCTCTACTTTCGAATGATCACAGTTGTTTTTCGTTTTCTTCAATTCTGGTATTTTTATATACAGAAAACGACGAATTTAACGAAATGGAAAATTTTTGTTTCACTTTGTAGACGTGTCGCATGTACAGCAAGAGTGGAAAAAATTTTTTGACTCTTTCGCGTTAAAGCCTGAAGTATTCCCTGTACAATCGTTTTTTTAAATTTTAATTTCGATTCTTCTTACTCAAGTTGTCAAGAATTAAAGAGAAATGATCATTTTCATTTTGATCGTTTATAACTCTGTTAAAAATCATTGTACAACAATTCTAAAAAAGGAATCTTAAAACTGAATCTTTGTTCCATAGTATGATATAGTGGCCGAATTTTTTTAAATTCGTAAACATTTTATAAATAAATAAAGATAACGAAAAAATTCTCAAGTTTTCTCGTTTTTGTTTAAACTTTGAAAAAAAGTTTTGTAAAGTTACTAAAAAAATTTTATGGATTGAAATTTTTGTGCCTCTTACTACCCTAATCTTGATAAAAAATCACAGACCTGCTGTGATAATTTCTTTACAGTGATCCGTATTTTCAGAATGATCGATGTGTACAATTTTGTTAAAAAAAAAACTTTATTTTCTGTGATAAAAAATAATAGAAAGTAAAATTCATGGCAGAACACTCTCTTCTCCACTTTCTAACATAATCTTTCAACTCAACATAAAATTTAGGACATGTAAAGTTGCATATCATTTCTAAAATTATCGCTGACGTCAGTTTCATCCAAAGCGCTACGTGCACAATTGGATTTGTCCTTTGTTAAAATTTGTCTATTTTTTAGACAATTTTTTTGTCCCTTAATTATTTTGAGAAGTATATGTATATATTAGTTCTAAACCTGCGAAAGCCAGATTGTTCACCTTTTCATTAATGTATAGATATCAACTATAAATTTTTTTTTAATAGCAACTATTAGACATTGAACAATCTTTCTTATTATATTTTAGAAGGTTTTCGAATACAAAGATTTATATATATTATAAAATGATTAAAACCTAAGAAAATAAATTAACCCTTAACTGGTATCGTGGGGTCAAAAATGACCCAAGAGGTGTAAAAACTAATGTCAAATTTCTTATAGTGATTTTAGAAAAGTTATGTAATTATTAACAACACATCGATAAATGAAAGTGTATTGTTTCATTTAATCAAATAAATAACTATAAAAATCCACTATCCCACTAATGAGAAATATTTTATGTTGGGGTTTCAAATGACCCACGACACCAATCAAGTTAGTAAATTTGACGATACCAATTAAAGGTTAAGATAATGTGAGATAAACATTCTTCAATTTATCTTTAACATTCAAAGCTGCTTCGAGCATCCGTTCATTGACAGAAGGATTAATCGCGCTAATTCCGTGGTTCCTTTATGATCGATGACCCATTCGTTGAAATACACATCAGAATGTCGTCTCGATCGTATGCGGCGTATTGTGTTTAATGCAGGAGCACGTATGCCTATCTCTCCCGCCCTGATTCCTCCAATTAATCCCGCGATTATCTCCGGCCGAGTCGGAAATCGCGATCTCTATATGCGATCACCGTACGCTCCTATGACTACGGATAATGTTTCCAATTACAGCGAGGGGAGGGATTAGCACGGATTGCATATCGTCCCCTTTTGATTCTCGTGAGCGGGTATCGTTGTGCGCGTTCGAGATCTCGTTTTTTCCCGTCCAAAAAAAAAAAAAACGATCGCCGGAAATTGGCAGGAGTCGAACGACGATGGCACAAAAAAATGGAAATGAATAGCGGAAAGTGCTCTGAGAAACGAAGAAAACTTCGTGGAATTATATAGCAAGGGAGAAACAATTAACTCCTCTGTCAATAATTTTCTACTTTTCATCAATTATATATTAGAATATCAATTTTTGTATACCAATTGCTGGGCATTAAACATTCTTTCTTGTGAAATTTCAAGAGGTTTCCAAATACAAAAGCTTTTTTTAATTTATTTCGGGCGAAGATAAATTCCGACACATTTTAATATTTGAAATTACTTTGAGTATCCGTTCATTAGAAGATTCCAGAATTGTAGATTTAGTAAAAAAAAAAAACTGTTGATTTTTTGTCTTTACCTTTCTTGTTGGTGACCGGGCTAATTAGAAGTAAATTAGCAAAGATGGCTCCGGTTCCGTGACCGATCAAAGTGACTCTGTTAAAATCACCACCGAATTCTGCGATGTTCTCCCTAAGCCAAAGCAACGCCGCTATTTGATCCAATAATCCGAAATTGCTTGCTGTGTCATCTCTAATTCCGGGCCTCAGAAAACCTATAATGAAAATTTCACGATTATTAATCAAATTAAGGAAGTAATTGTGGCGAACAAATTAAATCTTCTTCAAATATTAAAACTAATTTCTTCTAGAAATCCTACACTCTTGAGATTCCAGAACAATTATTATTTGATTATTCCAAAACTGTATTAATTATATTATTTTCCTAATTTCAAATCTCAAGAATTTTTTATACTTCTTCCAGAATTTGAAATTATAAAATGTGGGATAAGAATTTCCTCTGATTAAAAATCTACAAAAGCAGGAAGATGCAAGCTATACACGATAATCTAAGAGGAATCATGTTCAACGACGTAAGATCTGTTATCTTACAAAATAAGAACCTTGTAACTGTCAATTACATTCAACCATGTAAAAGTGTGCAGCCGAGAGAGAATTTTCATTTCTTACCGGAGGGAATTCCCGAATAACCAGATGAAGAGGAGAGATTTTTAGATTTCAAGAGATCCCCGGAGACACTCTTCTCTCTCTCTCTCTCGCGTACATTGGGCGTCCCAATTAATTAGCTCCACGGAGATGCGAAATTCTTCCCTCTCTGTTTAAACATGAAGCACTTTCGCGCGGTAACGCGATCGCTCGCCGGGGCTCTTTTTGCTCGAGGGCCGACTTCGCGCGCTCGGGACCATATTTTTCCCCTGTTTTGCGCACCGGGCGGACATCATGGCTTGGGCAAGGGAGGTAGTGGGTCGAAGTTATCCGCAGGCTCCTCACGGGGCTAACTCCGGACAGCGAGGGTCGGGGGTTACTAAGCGCTTCCCCAGCACTTTAACCTAATTATGATTATGGTTTCGCGTCGGCCTCTTTTTTTCTCCGCCGCGGAACCACTCCACTTACCGGATATACCGAATGTATAGTCCCCGTTCTCCCCGTCCATTTGCATCGCGCCCCGTCGCTGTCATCTCGCGAAAAGAGATTGTTGGAATTTCGCTGTTAACCCTCCCTCCAGCCCGCCAAACGAGCATTGTACGTACACGACAATTTCGGATTGCGGGTGCCGCGTTTCTGGATGGCACTTTTTAACGGACTTTCTGAATAATGACGCTTTCGCATGACCGCTGCGCTCTTCGTGCAACGAAATATACTGTGTTACTCCATCGGTTACCCCGGCTTTTTTTTAACATTGAGAGAGAGAGAGAGAGAGAAAAGTACATACAATGCATGGAATAATTTAATGTTTTTTTTTATCATACCAGAAAAAGTGCCTCGATCCAACTAAACCTCATTGTTGTTGAATCGCTTGTATGAATACATTTTTTTCCACACAGCTGTTCCGCGAGCAATCCGCGAAAATTTCATTCGTCAGAGCTTCGATCATTGCCTCTTTACCCTTGATTTTGTTAATGCTTTTATTTGGCGATTAAATTGAGCCATCGTTTTTACACTTCCGGTGACGTGATAAGTCGACCTATGTGTATCGGGTAACGGGAAACTTTCTTTGAGAGGGCAAGCTGTATATATACATATAGTATATGTATATATACGATATTGAAAAGCTCGAGGCGATAAAAATTTAGATAAGAAGTTTGCGAGACAAGGCAAGGCAGGCAAGCAGCCTTGGCAAACGACGAGCCGTAACAAAGTTATTTATACGGCGGAACAGTAATAGTATACTGTATATCAAGTGCGGAAAGTTGACAATTAGTCACGAGTGCGGGGGATGGACGCACGAGCCGAAGGCGAGTGAACAATTGTCAATCCGCACGTGATACACATACTATTTTGTATTACAAATGCAGGCAAAGTGGCTTTGTGTGCGTTTTCTGTGCGCGAGATCGTCGATCGCATGCTGCCATCTTGCGGCGGTACGGTGCGGGAATAGCCGTGTTCAAAGTCATTGTCCACGGCTAAAGTCGTGGGCAATGATTTTGAACGCGGCTCAGCCGTAGGCAATGGCTTTGAACGCGGCTCATTCACTCACCGCGTTGCCGCTAGATGGCGGCGTGGGAAATCGGCCGCTTTCCGCACAGAAAACACGCACACAAAGTGCCACTTTGCCTGCCTGTGTAATACAAAAGTATATTAGGCGTTAGTATTTTTCTGCACGGTGTGCATCGGTCGATTATGGCTTCCTATACGCTTTACTGGATGCGGGCTTTAAGAGGGCGATAAGAAAAAGATGCAAACCTATTCCCCTCTTTTTCTTTTTTTTCTTTACAAATCTACACTTTCTCTTACCTAAGATGCCGAGTCGGAAATTAATTGTAACGAAAACAACGTTGCCGTAAGCTGCTAATATAGTGCCATCGTAAGGATTGCCGCTGTTCCATTCGAAACTCTCCCCATGAATGAATACCATGACCGGGTATTTCTCAGATTTTTTGACCTGAAACAAGAAGAACAAATTAACTTTATAATTTAATTATTTTTATGTAAAATGTTTTATATATATTATATATTTTATATACATATAATATGTATTATATAAAATATATCTATATTGTATATAATATATTGTATTATAATATATTGTTATTATATCTTATTAAAATATATAATAATAATATTATATATTTTAATAATATATAATCAGTGTTTGCTGTTATGTAAATAAAATTATATAGATGATCATCTAGATGAAATTTTGGCGTCATCTTATCTTTATATAGATAATAAAATATATTTTATTTATAGCTGCATCTTAGATTAAAAAAACTATTATCTTTACTAAATTATCTAGAATATATAATGCTCAGATAATTTGGTTAGGTCATAGCACATAAAGATACTTAAGTAATAAAGCTTAAATAGTAAGCGATAAAAATTTGTAAATATAGGTATATTTTATATACCTTTTATAATTTATATTTTTCTAATAATTGTGTTTACATAAGCGGACTTAAAAATAATATAGCATTTATCTGGTGTATATTATTTATTGGTTATATTATTTTTGTTTGAAAATTTTGGCTGAAAATAATTAGTATCTTTCTTAAGGTGCTCTTATAGGGCAATTGGAAAACACGAGTAAGGATAAAGTTTTCCTTGAAACATTCTTCTTCGGCTGTCGTCAATATCTCTTGTCCTCTGCAGACATGGTAATTTTTTAATTGTATTTAAGAAGCTTTTTCGCGGGGGTTTCCTGGAGGAGACGCTCCTCCGAGGAAGGACCTCTGATTTACATCGGACGAAAAATTATCGCCAGAGTTTGTTCGCGAGAATGGAAGCATGGGATTAGTCCCCGAAATTTATATCGTTCCCCTTGCGAACTATTCACACGGAGCGAGTTTTCGATATTACGGCAACTATAAATTCTTCTCCGTCCCCCATCCATCGAGCCACGTAGTTTCCTTTTAGCGATCCGCAAATTAGACTAGGACGACGGTCTTCACCGGAAGAGAGAGAGAGAGAGAGAGAAACTTATCGGAAAATCCGTTCCGCCAAACTTTCTGCTGACACTAGAATATCGAACTTGTCACTGTGCGAATGTGAGTAAATCATTTCACCGCCAAATGTTGTAATAAAAGCATCGATAGATCAAACGCGATTCGATTGTGTAACTTTGTTGATAAGAGGGTATTTACACAAGTTTTATATTATTTTCATCAAATTTCGGAAAAATCAATATATTATTTAAAACCGAATAAAGATTATCGCGAAACTCGATTTATTTCTGCGAAAATTGTGTTGGATTTCCCTTTTTTTTTTTACAATAAATATATTTGAGAAGGAAGAGAAAGAGAGAGAGAGAGATAGACTTCTTTAGTTTCTGAATGAGATAAAACAATATGAAGGAACAAGGAGGGATACAAATATCGTTTGCGTTGGCGAACGACATCGGGAATGAAACGACGGAGATTTCATCCCTTGGCGGCTTCGAGAGAGAGGCGGCGATCTAAAAACTCATTTAGCCGCGAAGCTTATCCCCGAGATTTAATTAACGGTTTCAATTATCACAGTCGGCCGTTCGTCGAACTAACGTATCTCCTATTTCCTCCAAAGAGCTTCGATGGCTGGCGTGCACTCGATACATCCCGATAAATCAAGACACTCGATCGTGACATTCTCTCTACCGAATTTTCTTGCTTCGCTTCTGACAACGACAACCCGGCCCATATTTCTCACCCGACGCAAGTATCTATTCATCAATACACTTAGGAATTTTTCTATACTTTTCTCGAAAATCTTTTTCACTTATACGCCCGATTAACTTAATGTTTGCTCTCAAAAATATGGAGGCGGATAAAGTCTCTGAAACAATTTTTTTATTTAATTGGTAATTATGTATTCTTAAATTGAAGTAAAAATATTTTATAAAAAAAATATTTATTGATCAATGTGTGTGTGTAAATGTTTAATTGTTTAAGAAAGTTATTAATATTATTGCAAGGCACACATAGAATTTATTTTTGTGTCACATAAAATTATTCTATTATCAATATTGTTTTTTTTTTTCTTAATTAAGTCTAAGCTAAAAAAGATGTTTTATTATACGCGAAAAATTTATATATCGCAAGATCCATGATATTTATTAAAAATTTATATTAGTATAAAAAATAAATGAATGCATTCTTTATCATTTTTTAACTATATATTCTTAAATTTTTTATTTGTCAGAACAGTTTCACTAATAAAATTTATATATGTGATATAATAAAAGGCCAACTAACGAGCTTATATGATAATAATTGAAAAATTTTTATTTATTAATTTACGTCATACTATACAAAAGTTACGATAAACGTTTCGACTGTACGACAGTCTTTCTCAATATCTTAATAATATGTTAAAAAATTAATTTAGTCATTTCGACATCATAAATAAATACAACAATTATAAGATTATATGACGAACGCCGTACAAAATTCATGATTGTTGGCATGTGTTAGAGCGTCAGATGCTGTTATATTATGTAACGACACTGTGAACAAATTAATATATCCGCTCAAATATTACAATACATTTAGATTTTTAATAAATAGTATTAACTTACTTTTTGTCAACGAACATAACACCTCTGTAAAAAAATTATTTCTTTTTACTTAACATAATCACAATGTGTACTTTTTTAAAAAACAAATCGATATCTGTATCTTACAATGTCGGCGCGCTGTATATATACCAATTCTTAGATGACGTAGACAATTTTTTTAGAATATCATAATAAGAACCGTCAAGACGCTCGGTGTCCTTTTTTAGGTTGATACTGTTGTTTTCTTCTTTAATATATATCATTTCTGATATCAACCTTTTATAATAATTCTTTCATAATCTAGGATTTTTGTGTCGTTCCAATTGAAATTGTGTGTAAATTTTACAATATGATCAGAAACCACCGAGTGCCTTGCTGAATCTAATCTAATATTATTTTTATGTTCATTTACTCTTGTACCTAATTGTCTTTTCGTCTGTCCTACATATGTAGCATCACAATTATTACACGAAATCTTATATATGACCCCCGAATTATTTTGGAGCTTATCTCTGTCTTTTGCGTTTTTATGACTCTGTTTATTTCTTTAGACATCTGTATCCTACTGTTATATTTGATTTCTTTAATTCTGATGCTACTAGTTCCGAGATTCTTTCAATATAAGGTATCGCTATGAATTTTTATTATTGTCATTATTTATGATTTCGTTATTTATATCTTGAGTCATTTCTTTGTTTAATCTATTAACAATAAGGAACTTCAGTCTATTATTGATTTCTGAGAAAATGAGATCAAGAGGATAACTATTGCTCAATAAAATCTCTATGATTAATGTTAAATTTTACTATGAAAACGGGGATGTGATAATAATATTGACCGGTCTACTAAATTATATATTACACTTTTTTTGTGGCATATAGGATGATTTGAATGATATGAGAGTGTTCTACCCGAAAATGTTTTTTCTGAAACCAATCTATGTATATTATGTTATTTATAATTTTGAGTGAGATATCTAAAAAACTTATGCTACGGTTATCCTCTCTTTCTATTGTGAATTTAATCTATCGTGACAATCATTAAATTTTTCTACTAGATATGTGACTTGATCTTCCGGCAAGCAAAGCAAGATATCATCGACGTAGCGATAGTAAAACCTTATATTAACCTTTATAGTTTCAAGAATCCTAGTTTCTATATCTTGCATGACAATATCAGCAATAATTGGAGATAAAGGCGATCCCATAGGAGTTCCATGTATTTGTTTATAGATCGTTTCGTTGAATGTGAAGTACGTTGAAGTCAAAATAAATTTAATTACATTAACAAACTCATTTTTGTCTATTGATGTGTGGTTTTCAATGTAATGCCATCTATTATTTATGCTGTCTATTGCAAGGTCCACAGGAACATTTGTGAACAACGATATCACATCCAAAGATACGATTGTTTCATTGTTGTTTAATTTAAGATCAGACAAAGCGTTGCACAATTCAAAACTATTGTTAACATGACTTTTGCCTTTGGGTAAACTTGTCACTAAAATGTTGTGTAAATATGCAGCTAAATGATGTAGTGCTGTATTGACCGATGATACTATTACTCTGAATGGAACATTTTCCTTGTGAATTTTGGGCAAGCCATATGCTTTAGGAAGCACTGAATCACTGGAACTTAAACAATAATAGTCTTTTTTTGTGATCCATTCATTTTTTAACCATTGTTTTAAATTTTTGTTAAGGTCTTTTTCTATTCTAAGTTAATACTATTTATTAAAAATCTAAATGTATTGTAATATTTGAGCGGATATATTAATTTGTTCACAGTGTCGTTACATAATATAACAGCATCTGACGCTCTAACACATGCCAACAATCATGAATTTTGTACGGCGTTCGTCATATAATCTTATAATTGTTGTATTTATTTATGATGTCGAAATGACTAAATTAATTTTTTAACATATTATTAAGATATTGAGAAAGACTGTCGTACAGTCGAAACTTTATCGTAACTTTTGTATAGTATGACGTAAATTAATAAATAAAAATTTTTCAATTATTAGCATATAAGCTCGTTAGTTGGCCTTTTATTATATCACATATTTTAATTGTATACGAGCCGAAGTTTAATTTATAAAATATATATAAATACAATTTATTTTTAAAAATTAATAAATATGTATCTGAAGTAAAAGAAGATCAATATTTGATAAAAGAATTATAAAATTTAATCCTTTAGAGAGTCATTTGTGTGATTAATTGTTGAAAATAATTTATTAATTTTATGGCGAGAAACATGATTTATTCTTGCATGTCTCATAAAATTATTATATTATCAATCTCGTCTTTTCATTTTCTTAGGAAAGCCTGAGCTAAAAAAACATGCTTTCTTTTATAAGAGGAATTTATATATTGAAGTTCATTGATATTTACGAGGATATT